CTTCTTCTCGAGAATTTTGAGTTTATTCTGACTTTGAAGAGTTGCCAGCTCTTGGTGGGGTGGAGTTCTGTCTTTATGCAGAACGAGAAGCATGACCGCTCCAAGAGCTGTATTTCCTGCATGACTTTAACATGACATTTGCAAAACCATATCCCACCGAGGACAGATCAGGAGTCTCCTGGCCTCTGTCTGGGGACAGCAGCTCTAAGCTCCTTGGTTGATCTTTTAAGCACGTTGTGAAGTGAGTGCATGACACAGGAATGAGGAGGGCGCTTGAAAAGGAGACCAGACCACCCATGTGTTGGTGGTGTTTTGAGGGCGTTAGGGACTTTCTGGAGAGTCTACATAGCTGCTGATAACACTGGACTGATTTGAAACGTTGGCTTGAAGTCCTGGTGTTCCTGAGCTGCTGCCTTTCATTATGCCACAAGGTAGGTCAGAGCGACAATCATCTCTTTTTCTTGCTCTCCCATCAAAATACCTCTTCCATCAAGATGGAGCTGCTGGTATTAAATTTCTTTCTGCTGCTCCTGCGCCTTGGAGAAGTGGCACTGCTCAGAGAGAAGTGATTGCTGTTGTACATGCGGGACTCTTGTCCAGCTCGTGATTTGGGGCGGGTCGTCGGCAATTCTCCGTAAACTTGGCTTTGAAAGACCATGGCTGGGGCTTCCCAGAAATGAGGAACAAGGAAATGTTGAAGTCAGCCTTCCCGACTTGCTTTCTAAAAGCAGCGATAATACTTGTTAATGATGCTTTATAATGCTCCAAACTGGCAATAACTGTGGGCTAACTTGGCTGGGCCTTCACGGCATTTCCTAGGCACTCCGTCGGTCAGGATGAAGCTCATATATATCCACACGTATATATCAGACCAAGTCTCTCTTCTCCTTATTTCATACATTTGGCCCATGGGCTTGCTCAGTCCTGTTTGCTGAGCCCCTAAAATACCACATACTCATTAATCGGGCCCAGAACTGACCCCCATGCTCCTTCCTGCATCCTCTCTTTTTTTAAAATTGATTTCAGAGAGGAAGGGAGACGGGGAGAGAGAGAGAAACGCCCATGATGAGAATCATTGATCAGCTGCCTCCTGCACACCCCACACTGGGGATCAGGCCCTCAACCCAGGCATGTGCCCTGACTGGGAATTGAACCCTGACCTCCTGGGTCATAGGTCGATGTTCAACCACTGAGCCACGCTGGCCGGACTGAAAATTCTTTGAACCAGAGCAACTCAATCATTTATCTTCCAGTTCTAAATAGTCTGATGACTTTTTAAATTTGGGTCATAAAATAGGGGAACTGGGAAGGAGTTTTATGTCACCTCTTACAATGCCCTCCTGTGGCCAGATCATGAGTCATTCATTTGTTCTTTTGTTGTTGATTTCCTTGAGCATCTAGTGTGGCAAACCACTCAGCAGAGGATATACTGAAGAGAGGTTCAATGTATTAAGCACAAGACGCTGATCTGTTAGGTTTTGATCCTGTTGTGATACATACAAACACTGGGCTTCTCGTTAATTCTTTCTGTTTGGAACCTTGGCCTTGAGGCTGCCATGGTGCCAGGAGCAGGTCAGGTTTCAGGCGAGTCGTCACTGGACTGTCAGTGGGTGTGAGACGTGCTGGCCTGAAGAGTGGCCTTTTTCTTCCTCTAGGTCAGTGGTTCTCAACCTTCTGGCCCTTTAAATACAGTTCCTCATGTTGTGACCCAACCATAAAATTATTTTCGTTGCTACTTCATAACTGTAATGTTGCTACTGTTATGAATCGTCATGTAAATATCTGATATGCAGGATGGTCTTAGGTGACCCCTGTGAAAGGGTCGTTCGACCGCCAAAAGGGTCGAGACCCACAGGTTGAGAACCGCTGTTCTAGAAGGATAGGCTCTCCTTGGACTGCATATTCTCAGTGAAGCCAGTCCCGTGTGTGTTAGCGCTCATTTAAGAATGTAAATAAATATACATTCAGTTTTGCTTGCATTTAATTTAGTTATCACATAACTAGAATAATTTGCTTTGACTCCCACTTTTTCACATGATCATCGTGTTTAATTATAGTTTCTAAAAAGAAGTAACTTCTTTTCATTTTCTTTAGAACAAAAACATTGAAGTAAATTTTATTTCTCAACTTAAACACATCAGGAAATCTAAAATAAGGTTACCATGCTCTCATAAATTTTATGGTATTTGCATCAATCCATTCTTTTTTTTTTTTAAACAAAAAGAGCTTTTATGAAACTTAATAATTGTAACTTTGTTCAGTATTACATATTTCTTAAAATATGGCTGTTTTCCAAATACCACAAATAGTTTAAATCATTTTATCTGTTAGAGATCTTTTTAAATGGAGTCACTGGTTCATTCTGAAAGCAGCTCAAACTCATGACTCAAAATTTGCTAAATTAAAAAGAAAATCACAGTTGGCCGTTTTCTGATCGTTTAGAACTTGGCAATGAAGAGGAAATTGCAAGCAATGACTCCAGCTGAACTTGAAACCACAGTTTAAAACTTGAGCTCTTTAGCAAGACACACAACACCCCAACTTACAGTTTTTTAACTCTGTGTGTATAGGAAGTTTCCCACCTCACTTTCTCTTTGGTCTGCTGGTCATTTTAATCCAGTGGACAGATTCCAAATGTCCTGGATCCTTTTATGTGGGTTTATTTAACCCATAAGAATGGATCCACGCTGTTTCTCACGCCAGGGCACTTGGCATTCCCTTCACTTCTCTCCCGGAGAAAGAGCTTGGCTAAGGGCACTTCTGAGAACTGCCCAGATGGGGGAGGGGAGGGACGGGGCAATGAGGAGACCCAGTGGGATGAGATTGTGTGACCTCGTGAGTATTATATGGGTGACCAGGGCATTTGAGGGGTTCAACACTACTTACCCGTTGAAAGAAGAAAGGTGTTCATAAGGAGGTGAAAGAATTTAATTGGAAGAGGAGAGTGAAAAGGAGGCCTGGGAGGCAGATGAAAAGGAAAAGACATTGCCCGGCCGGCGGGGCTCAGTGGTTGAGCGTCTGCCTATGACCTGGGAGGGCACGGTTCGATTCCCGGTCAGGGCACATGCCCGGGTGTGGGGCCTGCAGGAGGCAGCCGATCAATGATAGCCGATCAATGATCCTCTCATCACTGATGTTTCTATCTCTCTTCCCCTCTTCCTCTCTGAAATCAATACAAATATATTTTAAGAAAAGGGAAAGGACATATATTTGTTCAAGTAGATGAGAGAACTGGTGGTGTAAGCTACCTTAGTTGTCCCTTCATATGTTTGCCTCTGCTTTGGGGCACAGTCCCCAGCTTCTCTACTTGGTTGCTTTTTTTCCTTTTCAAACTAATTTCCCCTTTTCTGGGCCTTCATCTGCATCCCTCAGGGTGCCAGCGTCTCCACAGTGGCCCTTGTCCAGCAGATGCCGTCCAGCCCGATGCTCCCGCCTCCCCGCTGCCCTGCCAGCCCCGCGAGCGAGGACAGAGGGCCCTTCTCTGCCTGCGCTGTGTGCTGGGCCGCCCGCCCCCTGGCTCCTCTTCTGATGCGTCTTCAGGCTTGTTTCTTCCTGACCTAGGAATGCACGAGCGCTCGGTCCTTTCTTGCTTTGAATGTCCTTTTTGTGCCGACAGGGAGAGAGATGACTTCATGTCCGCGCTGGTTTCCGCGAGGAGCAGCTTGGCGGACGTGCAGCAGAGGGAGGCGGGCGCCTACGAGCAGGTGAAGCGTGCCGTGCAGATGACGGAGGAGGCCAACCTTGAGAAAACCAAGGCAAGTCTAGCAGGGTCCGAGCCAGGCAGGCCATCGTGGCCCCTTTCCCCGCTGAGTATGTCTTCCCTTATTCTTCCACAGCTAAACTCATTTTTCTAAACACGCAACGTGAATGCCAATCTGTTAATGTTGACTTTGCTAAATTAAACCAATTTCCACTTGGAGAGTTCTTACTCCTCTGCAGATACTCTTCTGTTGCTGTTCAGAGAACATGGTACATTGTGGTCAAGGATGTTGAGAGGCTCTAGTGCTCAATCTTTTTATTTGATGACTAGAGGCCCGGTGCATGGATTTGTGCACTGCTGGGGTCCCTCAGCCTGGCCTGCGCCCTCTTGCAATCTGGGACCCCTCAGGGGATGTTGGAGGTCCAGTGCATGGATTCGGCCCAATCCCTGCAAGCTGGGCCCAAAGACTCCACCAGTGCATGAATTCGTGCACCAGGCCTCTAGTATGCATATGAGATCTTTGGTCAATCTCTTCCCACCCTCCCCCTCACCCCTCCCCCTTTCCCTCTGAGATTCATCAGTCTGTTTCATGTTTCCATGCCTGTGCGTTGAGCATCTGCCTCCTGGTGGTCAGTGTGCATCATAGCTACCGGTTAAATGGTCGAACTGTCGCTTAGGCTTTTATATATATAGGTAATTTTTAATGGTGTGAAAATCTTGACACCCATAAGTACATGTTCATGTATAACTAAATACAGATGTGGTTTTTTTCTATACACAGTGAATTTCTTATATATATACTAGGAGCCCAACACACGATTCGAAATCACTCCACCCACCCTTGAGTCGCCAGTCCAGCCCTGCCTCGCTCTCTGGCCCTTGAAGCAGCCACAACTGCTGCTGATCAGGCCCTCCCCCAGTGCAGGCGCGCGGAGGCCCCTGCCACCCTGCCCTGGACGCTGCGCACACAACCTCCTCCTGTGTGGTCGACCCGTTGCAGCCTTCTGGTTAATTAGCATATTTCTCTATTATATATATATATTTTATTGATTTCAGAGAGGAAGGGAGAGGGAGAGATAGAAACATCAATGATGAGAGAGAATCATTGATTGGCTGCCTCCTGCACGCCCCCTACTGGGGATCAAGCCCACAACCCAGGCATGTGCCCTTGACCAGAATCAAACCCAGGACCCTTCAGTCTGTAGGCTGAGGCTCTATCCGCTTAGGCAAACTGGCTAGGGCTGTCCACAGGGAATTTTGAGAACATCCAAATATGCCACAGAGAATAACATATGGGTATATAATAGCATCTTAGCTATGAGACTGGATCCACAGTACATACTAAATCAGGCACGTTCAAAGATAATGAAGACGACAGGAAGAGCTCTTACTTGGTGACCGGCAGTGCTGTCGGAGCTTTGAATCATAGGAGTTACTGCTGGGTCATTGCTATGTTTGGGGCCACACCTCAATCCATTAAAGCCGCTCTGTATTTTCCTACACACAGTGGCCACACGTAGCTGCGGTGACTGTATCAGACAGCGCGGATACAGACAGCATTTCCATCACCACGGAGAGGTCCGGGGGTAGCATTGGTCCAAGCCTATGGCAGCATCAGTGTTTTGCTCAGAGACTGGGCTGCTCTACAGTCACCGCCGTATCCACTTGTCTCTCTATCAAGTTCATCCCACCTCTTCCCATACCACTGGCCCATCACTCTTTTCATTACGAGCCCCTGTGCCTTCCGGAACGTATGCTCAGTTCTGACCAAACTCCCAAACATACTTTACTGTTTCCTCCAACACAACACTCCTGTTTCTTCATTTGTACTGATGTCTAGTTGTCCCTCGATCATATCATGACCCTCAGGGCCTCCAGCAAAGGCCCTTTGCCTCTCATTCATCTCATCCGGGGACGATGGGGGATCAGCGTTCACCTCACTCCTGACTCCTGCCCCCAGGCCGTCCCCTGGCCCCTGCTTTCAGCTCCCAGTCCTCACAGAAATCATTGCTGTCTCCTCGCCCTAATTTTAATCGAAGTCAATTCTCACTCTAGTCGATGCTATTTGACACTTCTTTTTTTAAAGAAATGCATCCGTTTTATTACCTGGGCTGTTAAAATAGTTGTGGTACCTTTGACACTTTTTAAGAGCTTTAGCCTCTGACCCTTTCCCCGTCTTTGTCCAGCCGGGCGGCTAAAGCATAAATACCGCAGACTGGGTGCTTACACAACAAACGTTATTTCTCGCAGCTGTGGAGGCTGAGAAGCCCATATCAAGGCATGGCAGGTTCAGTGTCTGCTGAGAACCACTTCCTGGTTATAGACAGACATCTGCTCCCTGCATCCTCGCGTGGTGGGAGGGGTGAGGGTGTTCTCTCTGGCCCCTTTTATTTTATTATTATTTTTTAAAATATATTTTTATCGATTTCAGAGAGGAAGGGAGAAGGAGAGAAAGATAGAAACATCAATGATGAGAGAGAATCATTGATCGGCTGCCTCCTGCAAGCCCCCTGCTGGGTATCGAGCCTGCAACCCAGGCATGTGCCCTTGACTGGAATGGAATCTGGGACCCTTCAGTCCCCAGGTCGATGCTCTATCCACTGAGCCACACCGGCTAGGGCTCTCTGGTCCCTTTTAAAAATAGATATTTTTATTGACTTCGGAGAGGGAGAGAGAGAGACAGAAACAGCAATGATGAGAGAGAATCATCCATTGGATTGGCTGCCTCCTGCACTCCCCCAATGGGGACTGAGCCAGCAACCGGGGCATGTGCTGACCAGGAATCAAACCGTGACCTCCTAGTTCATAGGTCAGTGCTCAACCACTGAGCCACTCCGGTCAGGCTGGACTTCCTTTTTATAATCCATTCACGAGGGCTCCACCCTCATGATCTGATCACCCCCCAAAGGCCCCACCTCCTAACACCATCACATTGGAGGGGAGGGGTGAACTTATGGACTTCGGAGGGGCAGGGCTATTCATTCTGCAGCATCTCCACCTTCTCCTCCCATCACTTAAAGGTTTCAGTATCCATGTTGTAACGTATGTACACCTGGTTCCTTCATGGCCCCCCCCACTTTGGCCTCCTGGCCCCCGTTCCCCCTGTTCTGTCACTCCCACGTGAACCGAAGCGTCCATGAGAACCCCGATTCTGAACCTGCTCTCTCTGGCCCTTCTCCTGCTCCCCATCCGTTAAACCTACTCAGGGTCCTCTCTGCTGCCTTTACTGTTCAGCCTCTTCTCACATCGCATTTTATCTGCTGCCCCAGGACCAGCTTCTTCCCTTTCCATTTCAGTGTGAATTTCCAATCCCCGACTGAGCTCATGTTCACTGCCCCCAACTGCTGTGTTCTGGCCCCTGAATGGCAGCTTTGTCCGGGACACGCCCTGCGGGAAGCCTGGATGGCAGCTCCCCTTCCCCCGGACTCCAGCCAATCGCGACACACCGATCTTCGTGTCTGAGGCTCTTGGACTTCCCTCCTCGCTGCCTTTTCTTGTGACCTCTGGAGCGATGAGTTATGAACGCCTGTCCCCCTCTTCACCCCGTTCCACTGCAGCCAGACGCGGTCTTTCTTAGCAGATGCGATCATGTGACTGTCCTCCAGGGATTCCCACACCCTCTCTGTGCATGAGGTCTGTCATACGCGCTTCCCTTCACCCTCCAGCGCCACTTCCTGTGACTCCCCTCTCACACCCCGTCCTCCCACAGGCTCAGGCGGGAGGGTCTGGTGCTGGGGATGGTCACCTAGAGTTACCAGACCTCGCTCAGCTTCCAGCCCCGCCGTTGGCCAGCCGCGGGCCGTAGGGCAGGTTATTTCATTCTCTGTGCCTCAGCTTTTCCTCATCTGTAAATGGAAATGCTATCCGACTCATCGGATTGTTAATGGAACTGTATTTTAGAATGTGTGTGTCGGTTATTTTTTAATCTTCACCCGAGGATATTTTTTCCATTCATTTTTAGGGAGAGTGGAAGAAAGAGGGAAAGGCAGAGAGAAACATTGATGTGAAAGGAACACATCGATTGGTTGCCTCCTGCACACCCCCTGACTAGGCCCGGTCCGGGGAGGAGCCTGCAACTGAGGTACATGCCCTTGACCGGAATCAAACCCGGGACCCTTTGGTCCTCAGGCTGACGCTCTATCCACTGAGCCAAACTGGCTAGGCTATATAGGTTGTTTTGTAGAAACTCTGGCACAAACCATTTTCTCAGTAGGTGATGGTGATGGTGGTGGTGATGGCTGTTAATTCCCCGATGCTGATGCCGTGTCCTGGCCAGTTGGGGTCTTTGTACCTGCCACGCAAATTGTCCTTCCCTCCCTGGACATCGTCTCCATTTCTCAGATCTTAGCTTGCATGTCACTCTCCCCAGAAAACCTCTGTTCCCATGTCCAGATGTGATGTAACTCTTATGTACCTTTATAGCAGGTTCCTCTGCCTGGCACCGGTGACATTTGGGGCTACATAATTCTTTGTTTTGGAGGGTGTCTACACATTGTAAGATTTTTTTAAAATATTTTTTTATTGATTTTAGAGCGGAAGGGAGAGGAAAAAGAGATGGAAACATCAACGATGAGAGAGAATCATGGATCAGCTGCCTCCTGCACGCCCCCCACTGGGGATGGAGCCCACAACCCGGGCATGTGCCCTGACTGGGAATCGAATCGTGACCTCCTGGTTCATAGGTTGATGTTCAACCACTGAGCCAAGCCGGCCAGGCAGTTTTAAGATATTGAGCTGCATCTCTGCCCCTGCCCACTAGATGCCAGGACCACACCCTCTTCCCCAAGTTCTGACAACCAGAAATGTCTCTAAACATTGCAGATGTCCCCCGGGGGAGGGAAAGGGGGCAGAATTGTCTCAGTTGGGAGCCACTCATTACATCATTCATCCAAATGAATCACTATTGCCTATTGGCCTGTGTGCTTCATTAAGCTTCACATCTCTGGAAGGAATAGGAATGTATCCATCTGTGCTCTTTTAAATCCCTAGCATCTTGCAAGGTGCTTAGCCCTTAATAGGTGCTCATTAAATGTCCCCTGACTAAGGGGATTGCAG